AAAATAATAAGGACTTACTTAGAAAAATAGAAGAACTATAGTATAAGTTATATAATAATAAGATAAGACTAAGTAGATAGTATAGATTACTAAGTACTTAATAAGGACTACTAAGCACTTATTAGTAATTACTAAGCGCTTACTAGTACTTAGTTAGGAATTAGTAAGCTAGATAAAGGAACTATTTAAAACTTATATATAGTATAACCTTAAGTCTAGCTTATAGTTAGATTTCTATAGCTCTTTAGTAATTAACTTAGTATTTATCTTTATAGATACTCTTAGCTTACTTTTACTATAAATTACTTATTAAGTCTAAGACTAATCACTTTAGTCTCTAAAGATCTGATCTATAACTAGCCTATAACCTATAACTTAGACTATAACCTCAGTATACTATTATAACGTGTTAATCCCTAGCTTCTATTAGTAGACCCTACTGTCAGATAGCTGACCGTAATAAGCTTACCCTCGATCTCAGTGCCCGTCTGTCCCTTTTCAAGCTTAGATAGGGTGTTTTCTGGGAATCCTTCAAGCTTATTAGGAGCTAAGTAGATTGCTATCTTAGCTTCAGCTAGATTTTTCGAGAACTGGGATGCAAGAGCGTTAATGCGACTGCGGGTCTCCTTAAAACGGTCACGTTGTTCTCCAGGTGGGATCAGCGCCCACCGTAAGGCAAGTAAACTTATCAAGTTTAATTAATTAATTAATTAAGTTTGAAGCTATTACTAGTTAATTAAGTTAAGTTTAAGCCTCAAACTTAATTAATTACCTTAACTCTTTTAATAGGAATTATAATATAAATTAAATAAATATTCTACTACTAAATATCCCTACCCTTCCCTACCCTTCTTTATATACCCTCTATTTCTAATAGAACCCCCCTTTAATAAAGTATAAATTACTTCTTTTTACTTATCTAACTTCTTCTTTTTTTCCCTCTAAGCTAATAATATAATAGTTCTAGTATAAGATTATTTATAATTTTCTCTAAGTATAGTAGTTAGCTAAACCCCTTAAGTAATTTAAAAGCTAGCCCTTAAGATTTTATAGAGATTTATATTAAAATTATTACTTTACTACTATTATCCTCTATTTCTATTATCTATTAGTATCCTTTAAATATAAAGGTATTACTAAGTCTACTCTCTCTTCTATTTTACTTATCCTATACTAAATATCTATTATACTAGTAATCTTCTATTTAACTTTAACCCCTCCTCTAAATACCTTTAGCTAACTTTTAAGGTATAGATCTATCTTATTATAACTTAAGTAAAATAAAAACCACCCTCTACTTAACTATCTTTTATTTAAAAACCTCTTTAAAGTTATAATAAATAATAAAGTATATATATAAAAATTAAAACTTTAGAGAAAAAGTATAAAAGAGAAAATAAGCTAAATAGAAAGCTATAGCTAGTTTTTTATTCACTACTAGCTAAATAAGTAACTAGAAGCTAATTACTAAACTTATTATTACTATAATCTTAAGAGTAAATAGATTATTCTTAATATTAAAATAACTTTATCTACTTTAAAATACCTCAAAAAGAACTATACTAGAGAGATTAAAGTATTATCTATTAGCTTAAAAAGTTCTAAAGGACCTAATAATATTCTATATAAGAGATAGTATTTAAATTTTACTAGTTTAATAAGAGATTATACTAAAAGTATCTAAAAAGCTACTATCTACTTTATTATAAATACTAACCTTCCCTTTAGTATCTATAAGAACTTTACTTTTTAGAGTATAATCTCTAATATTAATATAAAGCTATAAATATTACTATAGTTTACTACTTTAATAGTTTATATTCCTAAAGATATTTAGAAGTATTAAAAAGAGGTTATATAGTAAGAACTTCTATATACTAACTCTAAAATCTTTCTAGCCTTTAATCTATAGACTTCTCTAAGCTAGTATACTATTATAGGTATCACTATATACTTTATTATTAGAGAGAAAGGTCCCTAAGTATATTTAATTACTATAAGGAAGTAACTTAAAGCTTATAATAGTATTAACCTTATAAATACTCTTAAAGAGGTTATTTAAGACTAAAGTATTATAAACTAAATAAGAACTTTAATTTCTAATAATATAAACTTAAATAACACTTATATAATAAGTCTAATCCCTTAACTTAACCCCTCTATAAAGAAGAAATAAGATACCTAAGCTAAAAAGATTTATTACTTTAAATATATCCTTAACTTTATATTAAAAACCTTCTTATTTAGTAAAAACTCTAAGAACTTTAAAAGATAGTTAGATATATATATTCTTCTATAGTAAGATAAAGCTAACCTTAAATATTAGTAAAAAGCTAGTCTTATTAGTAAACTTCATAATATTATAAAATTTATAAAAGCTTTACTATAATATATATAGAGGTTTAAAAATCTATCTTATAAGATATTAGAAAGATCTAAGTAGTCTAGTAGTATTCTTCTCTCTTAGTAGATATTTAGAGAAGTTAAATTAATTTAAGATAATATTATAAAATAGAACTCTTTATACTTTATAATTAAGTATATAATTCGCCTTAAGGATAAAATAAATAGCTTCTATTCTTCTTAAAGTATTAAAGATCTTATACTAGTCTAAGATATCTTAACTTCTAATAATTAGCTATAGTTAATAGAGATTATAATAATTTTAAAGCTTATCTAGAAACTTATACTTTAAATATAAAATTTTAAATAAAATAGCTTATATAGTAAGCTTTAAGAGGTAATTACTATAATAAAGTATCTTCTAAATCACTTTAAGGGTTAGAAGACTTTCTATAATAATACTAATAGTAAGGATTTTTAAGATCTTAAATTAGAAGAGTTATAAACCTTCTTATAAGAAATATCTTAAAAATCTACTTAATTAGCAAATCAATAAGTCTTATTATATACTTAAAGATCATAAGTATCTTAAAAATAGTTTAATAAGAACCTTTTACTTACCTATACTTACTATAAGTATATTAATAATATCTCTAACCTAGAAGAGATAAGTAGTAGTAGCTAGTAATACTTAAGGACTTCTATTAATAATAAATAGAAGAAACTAAATAAATATTATACCCTAATAGAGGAGTTACCTCTATATACTACTATATTACTCCTCTATCCTAATTTTAATATAAAATACCTAGAAAAGAACTAGTAATCCCCTTACTAATAGGAATAGATATCTAATACTAAGTTAGCTCTAAAGAGATATTTTAATTAATAATATCCTTCTAAAGAATAAGAAGGTATAAGAAATATAAACTAATACCTAGAACCTTATAATCTAGATAACTTTAAGTAATAGGTTTAAGTAGAAGTTACTATATTTAAGGGAGAAGATAATAATAAGGAGCTAGATAAATTAGAGAAGTACTTAAACCTATAAAGGTAAATAAACTATAATCCTATTAATTAGTAGTTTACCTATAAAGAAGAATATCCTCACCTAAATAGACTAATATTAAGTATACTAGTAATACCTTTATAGTTATCTAACTATAAGAGGGTATTTAGTACTATATCTCTTACCTAGACTTTATAGAAGCTAGCGATAAAAGTAGAAAAGCTAGAAATACTATAATATATAAGGTAATAGTATAAGAGGGGTATAATTTCACTACTTAGTAGGTCTAAATAGCTTTACTTAGTAATTACTTGTAATTAATTAGCAATTAATCAAGTATAGTATTGCGATATGGCAATCAAGTTAAGTTTAAGCCTCAAACTTAATTAATTACCTTGGGGTGGGCGCTGGGTGGGATCCGCAGACCATTTTTAACAAATTCACTATGCTTTTTGTTCAAGAAATTGCGAGACTCCGGATCGAGAGATTGTTGGTTTGTAGTGGCATAGACGAAGTCGACCAGTTTGAAGACGTCCTCATTCATTGATGCCTCTAATTGATAGTCCCGGAGGATAGTCCGCGCTTGGGCCGCAGCATCGCGAACTTCTTTGTCGGGAGACACATCTCTGAGGAATACCAACAAGGTTGCTTCTGAAGACATAGCATTCTCGGCGTGAGCGAGGGGCAGCAGGGTGTTGGTAAATGTTGCGGAGGAGGGCGAGATAGTGTTGACGAGGTCCTTGTGGGCTTGCTTCGAAGTCTTAATTATTCTGTTGATAGATTCAAGGATGGAAATCGGTGTTGCGGTGAACAGCGGGGGCAGCTGATGCGGAGTGTGGGGCTTAGCAGAGGCCATGGTGAGACCTCATTCAAATTTGAGATGTCAATAACTGCGGTGGTGTAGATGATGTGAGCATGGTTTGGGGAGGATGATCTTGGCGATCTTATAATACTCCACCATCTAACTCTTAGGCAACATCAATTCTCCTCATTCCAGGCAGACGATTTCACGTAGCAGCCGGGTTTCCGAACGGTGCAAGATAGGAAGGTGCGTTATGCATGCCCTGTAAAATGTTGCTAGTTCCAACCAACATCGGTGGGAACTCCATCGATCGTGACATTTAACACAACGGCTGGAGCCGTTGGTTAGGCTTCCGAAAGCACCGACTTCGCACTAAACCCTGTCCACGGCTGCATTTCCAGGCTTCCCCGACACGAGCTAGTAGACCCTGCATACAGAGCCCGCAGGCAGCACTCATCCGCCATAACAGCCCCACGCCGCAATGTGAACTTCCCCTGCGTATGCAGAAAAGATGCCACCATATCCGGCCAAAGGGGTTCTATTGGTCTCCGGCGTTTGGGGCGGAACGAAGCAGCGGGGTTGATGTCATCTTGGACCCGGCGCGATTAGGCAACACGTTTTGTATTTTCTAGAAGCATTAAGTATTTCGATGGGAGCCTGCCCACCTGATAGTGGTTTATATTGTACAAAGGGAATTTTAGGCTCCCGCAATGTGCCCACTAGCTGTTTGCACTCGCCAGCGCACGAATCGCGGCCGTTTCCCGTCACAATCCATCAAACGCCCACTCCTGTATCCCAGTCAAATCCCAACCCGTGACAAAGCAAAACATTGCGGCGGACAGATTATGTCTTGGTGTCGACCTTCTGATCCACCAAGACGCCCCGTCCTTGCGACAATTCAATCGCAGGTTCCGAAGATAAACTCTCAAAGTCGCTCAACCCTGTCAAGTTTCGCCTCAGGGTCTTCGCACTCAAATGCTTGGTCGTTCTATCGATGGCGAGAATTACAAGGAAAATCAAGGCAACGGTAGGGAGTGTCGCCGCACTCTTGAGGTACTTGAAGATGAACTCTTCTGATGCCGCTCCAGCTGCGAGTCCGACGGCGAGTACTGCGGCAAGTCCTCGGCTCGCCACAGCCGCCTTGTCGAAGATGTTGAGAGGACGATCCTTGTGTCTAGTGATGAGGATGAAGATAGCAAAGAAGACGACCACAAACAGGAACGATGCCCAGTAGTAGACGTACACCGTCGTAAACGCTGGCTGAGCAATCTCGCCGGGATCGCTCTCCCCACTTGAGCTCAGCCCGTTGTAGGACTCGAACAGCGTTCCGATCACCTTTTGGGTGAGCGCTTTGTAAGGCGGGGGTAGGAACAAGTCATCGCCATTGGTCGTGTTTGCGGCCGAGCATACCCCAGTCATGTTGCCGATGTTGTAGATCTCCTGGTAAACAAAGGGAATCATATCGCGAACTTCGAGGCTGTTCGGCATAGTCAGGCTCTGAAATGAGGTGATTGTTGCATTGGTCAGTGCAACTCCATCCTCGTTGAGGTTGACGCAGTGTTTGCGCAAGTCGTTGAAGAAATTGCCAAACTGGCTTAGAACCTGCCATGCAAGCGCAATCTGCTGAGAGCCTTCAACGACACCGATCATGCCGAGATGGAATGGGAAGTGGAGCACGGCCCAGATCTGCTGACGTACGGTTCCGAACTTGCATTCGGGAGGGTTGTCGAAGTAAAGCATCCAACAGAACATCTTCATGCATGTTAGGTTCAGTTATCCTAGGGGATGGGGCTTTCTTACCAGGATGAAGACGATGCAGCCGACAACAAGGCAAGCGTCTAGTCTAAGGCCGGTGTCACCCATCAGGTTTCCGACGGTCTTGGTAGCTCCAATAGCACCTTCACCGATAATGACGAGGGTAAATAAGCCCATTCTCTCCGTAAGATGCGTATGCTTGAAGCCCATGTTCCTCCATATTGAAGAGATGCCGAGAGTAATGGCTGCCTCGATAGCTAGAATGATGTACCAGACGTAGTAAATACCTAAGCCATTACCGGACTCCGGAGAAAACGCGGGGGTCATGGAGTAGAGGGCTCCACCGGAGAAGATGAAGAGAGTGATGGTCAAAGAGAGGGGCCATGTTAGGCTTTTGGTCTTCTTGCGGACGAAGTGCAATGCGACAGAGTACTGGGCAACCAGCAGCAGCCTCGTAGCAAAGAGAATGTTGCAGAGGAGTTGGAAGCTCTATATGATCATCAGAAATACGGTCGTTCCCTGAAGTCAGTACGACTTACCGCATTGTTATGTTCCTTCGTACCGGGACTAAATGATGACCCAACCAAAGCGAACCCGACGAACAGCAAGAACTGAATAATCTTGCACATCCGCTCGTAGCCGGAGTCAATTGAGAACCTGACATCGTGTAGCGTGATTTGGAACCACGTAAACCAGATGATACTGAAGAAGCCGAGATAAGCCGCGAGACTGGTCAGGTTGGTGATGCTATGCGTCTGCGTAAACGTCTCGAGGTTCGCCACGAAGAAGAGATCGGAAAATAGCTCGATGGTGTTGGCATTGTGTCTGACAAAGAGCTTTACCTCGCCGGTGTCCTCATCGGAAGAGATCACGGGGGTCTCGATCCAAGTGAGGGGCGTAATCTTCTCTTCCTGGAGGTAGTCTAGGCCCCTGGACGGCGGTTAGGCAGCTGCATGCAGGAGGATTCCATCGAGATGGGTGCATGTGCAAAAATGAGTGGCATGATGGGGAATTACGCGAGGCGCTACTCTTTACTCACCAGCTGACTTCCGAGCTATCAGAATCGACCCGGCGCACCTGGCTGCTCGGGAGCTTCGCCATGATTGCGCGGCGATGGTGGACGTCGAGAACGCCACAAAGTCCGTTTGTCAAAAAAGCCTCGTTGGTTGGTGAATTGGAGGGTGTTTCTTGCGAGTCCGAAAGAGAGCTCAAAGAAACGAAGGGGAAGAGAGACGGCTCTCTCAATATGGGGAAGCCATGTTGGGGGCGGTTGAATCCGAATGGTCCGTGTTACTGAACATCTCGGCGATATTCCAACGCTTCGACGAATAACGAGTCATCTTTACAGTGATCGTTTCCCTATTTCCCGTATCTACGTGGTCTGGAAGCTGCGGAACCAGGCTGTGTTTTGTGTTTAAGCTTTCCAGACACGGCGCTAATAAGGGGGAGACCCGCAATGGCGCCGGGGCTTCGCTCTCGGTCTCGGTCTCGGCGTGGAGCCAAGATTTCGGAGGGCCGTCTTTCACGGAGGTCTTCAAATATTAACTACATTCCGCCGGGTTTTCTTCAAGTTGATCTGCTTGAGAGAACCTCCTATGTCAACTGCCAGGAAAGTTCGACCACCAGGATGTATTTCAAATGCACCTTCAAAATATACAATTGTTGAGTTGCGAGTTTCCAACGAGGCACACACAAACGACGATCTACGACACCAACTACGATTTTGCATCCGCCGGATTTTTACCGAATACGTCGTATAACTCTCCAAGTGGACCGGACCGATTGACAGAATATTTATCGCCCATTTTGGCATCAAAGCCCCGGCATTCACCGATGGATGGGGTTTCTGAAATGCAACGAGCCCCTTTGCACGAAAAGAATCGAATCTAATGAACGAATGGGGAAGTTTGGCGGAATGCGAACACAAGGAAAAAGTTTCCCCTGAGCGGGAATCTACAGTTTACACGACTTGACAATCTTCTGCGTCAGCTCCGAATACCCCTTGAAGGTGTCTCCCATCTGCGCAACCTTCGCCTCGCCCATCGCCCTTCGCGCCTCTCCTGCAGAGCTGAAATGGTCTGCATTTCTGAGTGAGCTGGCTATTCCTGCAGCACCGAACAGAGTACCAAAGATCGTGTATCCAATGCTGGAAGAGTCGTCTACCATGCTGTAGATGTCGAATGCGGCATTCCCTGCTTCTCCTGCAATGGCAATGGCTCTCGCCAACGCTGCCAGGCCAGCTGCTCCAGCGAGCTCCTCGCCGACAAAGGGAACAACTGCCAGGACCACGGTGACGATGAGAAGAATCAAGTTCTTCTGTTCCTCTTCCTTCTCGGTCTCGCCGATGGACTTGACTTGCTCCATCGCCTTGACGGCCTGGAACGCGAGGGCAACAGGCATGGTGTAGACATCGACCACGTCCTCGATCGAACCGGCCCACTGTCCCAGCATAAGGTCTGTGAGAGTTGCATCAATGCTGGTAGGCAAAGCCGTGAGGTTGGCGCCAGCCTCCGTGAAAAGATCCTTGGGGTTCGACACCGTGACATCATCCGCTTGTTGAGGGAAGTTGTCCATCTTGACGAGCTTTGCATGGCACGTGTCAATCGGCTGACCCTGAACCGTCTGCGGCGCGCAGTAAGGCGTGATATCCTGCTCAGCAAACTTGACCCAGCCCGGCTCAACGCCGTAAGTTGTGCCCAGTACCGCGTAGAAGCCCGTCTCATTGGTGAGAGTCCACTCAATCTCGACGTTTGTCGTGTACGAGTCACCGGTGAGGGTGCTCGGGTTGGGGCAGTCGAAAGTGCTGGTACCGCCCTTGAAGTTGCAAGTGAAGTACGTGTAGCCATCAGACTTCATAAAACTCCAGATACTGGGCGCAACCAGGCCCTTGACATACTTGACGTAGTACCCGAAGAGACTGTCGTAATTGTTGTTGGCATCGTTGAATTCAGAGAGTGTTGCAGTATGGTTGTTTGATAAGACACCCAAGGCGTACATCCCGGCACAGTAGGGCTCGTAAGAGTCGGCGGCGGCAGCCAAAGCCTCCAAGGAGTCGAAGGTCAGAGAGTAGTCACAAGGAGGTTCGGCGGCTCCACCACCGTCGTCGGAGCCACTGTAGCAAATGCACAGGCCATAGTCGCAGGCAAAATCACAAATAGCTTCCAGAAACATGCTGGAGTCATCGGCCAAAGTGACAGTGTAGTCGACATCTCCCTCACTTGGGACGGAAGCTTCATCCAAGGAGAGCAACGTTCCAGTTCCGGTGCATCGGCAAACTGCGTTAGGGCCTGAAGATGTTCATGTCAGTTTCATGACCGGTAAGAGACAGATGGACGGGGTAGAATATACAGTATCCATAGGCGCACGCCCAAGCGCAGAGATCCTGGGTCGAATCGTCCGAGCGAGCTTGACCAGATGTGCAAGCTTTGTGTAAGAATGGCGAAACGGTGGGTGCACTGAGGTCCTTCTTCTCCGTCGTGCAGTACTTAGTAAACTCAGTCGTGTATCCATGGTTGTAGACCCAACTGCAAAGCCCCTCGTAGTTCGGATCACTCAAAGCGTGGCCCTCGTCTCCGGTGATCTTTGGTTCCTCGTTCTGAAGTCCCATATTGGTGCAGGTGCAGGAGCTAGACGGGCAATATCCATACTTGCACACGATGGCGCAAATGCCAGCAAAGCCTTCGGCTCCGGTACCCGCCGTGCAGACGAGGTCCGAGATGTCGTGCGCAGTCTCCGTCGCCGAGACAGCCTTGGTGGAGAAGTCGCCGTAGACATAGGGATTGAAGTTAGCATTGCCGTCGGCATCACAGCCGCCAATGTCCTTGTCAGAGGTGATGGCAAAGACGGTCTGGTCGTTGCGAATGATCGATGCAGTAACAGTCCCAGATGCACCATCCTCGACATAGACCGACCCGTAGTAGACGCCGACACCACCGGCGGGCTCAGTTGCCCAGGATCCGGCCATGTTCTTGCCGCCCACGGAAATGCTGATGTTCCCGGGAGATGCGAGGACGGCATAGTACCCGATGTACTTGCCACCACCAAGGACATCACCTGCAGAGTACTCGTACTGGAGCTGGGTCGCGGTGTTGATGGGTGTACCACCATCACTACAGCCGTCAGTGGAGTGGAGGACTGGCATTTTATTAGTCCGCGGCACTATCGATGGGTCTGTGCAAATACTCACGATATTCTAGGACCAGACTCTCCTCCTTCACGGTCGCCTTTCCGGTCTTGTATTGTTCGGTCCAGACCTGGAGAGGCCATCTCAGGGGGTAATGTTTCATCCCAGTGATGTAGTCAAATGCAGCGTAGCCATTGCTGAGGTAGGGAGGTGTATCGATGATGTCGCCGATGTAGTGAGACTTGGACGAGGTTAGTGAGGATGTACCCTGCATTTCGAAGGATTGGACCTCTCACCTCTCCGAAATCATTCCAGCTGATGATCTCAACATACTCAGGCTGCAAAAACATGATCTGCGTCCAGCGATCACCCCAAAGCTTCATGGTGTGATCGGGCCACATCCAGTTCTTGCTGTAACCAGGGAGGTTCGTGTAGAACCACGGGGATGCGCCCATCATGTAAGGCTTGCCATCGAGGTACTGGATGTAGGAAGCATCGGTGTATGTGTCCATGGACTCGCCTCCCCAGGACCAAGGAGACCAGTTGAACAACCCATCTGCAACACCATTCTACTTTGAGTCAGCGCCAGAACATTTGCCTCACTAACTGTGTTCGGCTTACCTCCAGTGCTACGGCTGGCTTCGCGCCGAGAGAACTCCAGTCGGGGATGAGGAAGCAACCAACGGATCCCTTGATATCGACCCAATCAGCAGCATTGTCAGGGCCCTCAAACGTGCTCACAAGAGGCGTCGAGTCTGAATGTTGGAAGTAGGCACTGTGGTGCGCATACTTGGTAAGCAAGGCTACGACGTCCGCCTTGTCCCATGCGCCGTTTCCAGCGTAGTCAAACGAGAAGAAGAGCTTGAAACCAACCGATGCAGCTGCATCAAAGGCGTTGGGAAGCTGGGCGTCGGTGATGTTGGAGCCGGCTGCAATATTGAGAGCGAAAGCATCTATTCCGGCAGTAGCTGCTTCTACCATGTCTGACTTCCACCAAGAGGTGCTGTAGTTCTCGGTGTTGTCAACCTATTGATCATTGTCAGCATTGCGGTTGTCCGTCGTGTGCCATTAAGCGGCTTCGTCTGATGGTTTATTCGCAAAATTACCATGAAATGCGCAAAGACTGCTTTCGCTTGGACATGCCGAGACAGGCTTAGCAGCAACGCTGCTGCGGAAGAAAATGAAATCTTCATGTTGAACGAAAGTCAGGATATCAAGAGAATGACACAATTGTAAAGAGTGGATGAGAGTGACTTGAGACAAACCTTCTGGCGATTTGGCGAGGGCATGTTTAGCTTTTCTACGCAGCCTTCTGCGAGAAGTCAAGTGAAGCCGTCTCTCAGGTATCACCATTTTACTGGCGCCTCAACTCGTCCCACCTGCTCCCATCACACGGATCTCAAGGATGTGACTTTCCACGTGGGCTGAAGAAGCTCGATTCGAACTGACTTGGCAGCCTGCTGCAGGTCCAGGACGTTTAAACGGCTGCCTTGCCATTCTGCGGCCCCTGCCGCAGTTCTTCAGGTGCCAAATGATATCGCTTAGCCCTGTCATGAGCTTGTTAATGTGTGCTAAGTCGGAATGCCCCCACCTGATCGCAGGGTCCCCGATATCAAAAGCTTAGCGCTCAAAAATCCACTTTCATCCGGTGCGTCGTCCCTTTTCTTCCAAGCGCTGATATCCCCAGACGATTTCTTCACCAAAGTTCCAAAATACGACGGAACACTCCGAACACCGCCGGATAACAACGTTGGATGCGGCAATAAAATTTTTGCATTGGCATGCGAAGCCAGGCAGCCGAGTTCTGAAGTCCGGATGGAAATTAGAAGATGTTGGGCTATCTAGCTCTTTGCCGATTTAGCCGACTTGACCCCTACCATCAGGATGGATGATGCTGAAAAACAGTCTGGTGAGAACTTCAGATATTGAGAAAGGATCGGGCTCTGTCTAGGCATCCAAATTTTACCAAAGTTCAATCCACAATAACGCCGTGATCCTTACCGTGATATCGTGTGATAGCGAAAGTTGCATCGGTCCTTGGGCTGGAGCGTGGGCGAGAACAGTAGTTGAATCCTACAAGCGTCCGGGTCACAAAATTCCTATGGGCTTAGCAGCTTCTCAGTAACAGAAGAGGATTGTCCAGCTGAGAAAATGGAGTCAAGAGAAGAGGTTATCTACGCCCTAGCCCCCTCGTTGGAATATTGTATGATGTGCTCTGATACTTTACTCATCTTGTCAGAGTGAAATTGCTCAACCAAATTGGTCCAACATCTTCTTCTTCGTAAGCGAGACCTTTACACTCAAATTTTCTTCATGCTGACCTTTTCAAGTTGAACGGAAGTGGCGCAGACAATTCTCATCATGAAGCTCTCCGTTGTTTTCTGGGTTCTGCTTCACTTGGCTGCGGAAGTTTGCGCGTCGACCAGGGCCAGCCCATGGCAAATGGTAATGTGGTACTACACGTATCGGCTACATGTTGCTGTCGTTGGCCTCGGTGTGCAAGCCTTCGCTCCGTGTGTATCGAGCAGCGGCACCTACTGCTCCTTTGATGAATTTGCTCAATATGTGCAAAGAACGTCGAAGAACTATCCAATCACTCAGTGGACGATTGGGTACGTGATAAACATTCATTCTTCCGTGTACCTTTGCAATTGCTTGCGACTGATACTTAATGACAGGACTGTTGACGGTCAAGGTCTAGGAGATCTGCCTGATCCCCTCAAGGCTGTTCAGGCAATTCAGGCCAACCTAGGAGAGAAGGTCTATTCTGTACAGCAGGCCCCCACTAAGCTCTTCCCAGCGAAGTACACCGACCCCAAAGCGAACTACAGATTTGACGATATGATTAAGTCTCTGGATGCAAACATCGTTTATCTTCGCCAGATAATTCTGCAACACACGAGTGTCGACATTGATGCGTGGAGTGGCACCTCGGACATGTGGAAAGGTTTTGTGACTTCTGTCGAGGGTCATAAAGAGATGCGTGAGGCCGACGAGTGGGACAAGGAGCTGAGTAACGTCAAGAACGGCTTCACCCAGGCTGGCCACACGCCGTTCACTAAGACCGTCACTTCGTCAGTTGATGGCAGGACCACGTGGACGGAGCTGGACCCGGTGCAGATTCTCCCGAACAGCGGGATGAACGGCGCCTCGTACATCCATCTCGTGGATACTTCAAAGAGCGCCCAATCTGCAAGTCATACCAGGTAAGTTGTTTTCGGTAAATCTACCGCAACATTTCTTCATTGAATTTCTGAAGACTGACACGATTTATCTCAGTGTAATTCAACAGCTGGACAGGCTGCAGAGCAATTCGAAGACCACGTTGGCAAACTATTGTCCAGCATAAGGACGCATTCTCCTTTCTTATCAAAAGTTTACTATTATCTAATATGTAGAGATCTCTTTTCGTCTCCTCACCTGGGTAGTTCAGATTTATTTTCAAGTGGTAGAGAGTTGGTGTTTTTGGCAAAGTATATTCGAATTCATGGAGGTGCACAACCTACAACCATTTCCACCGCAGGTCTTCCTCTTGTGCTTGAAGTGTATCTCTTACTATGCTCTCTGAAAATGTGTTGTCGTTCTGAATCGTAACACTGCAATCCCTTTCCTTTTCCTTTTTTTTTTCCCCCTTTTTTTTTTTTCTTGGGCTAAATCAGTCTCGCAGCACGACACGGTGGAAGCGACAAGGGGCCTGAGATCAAAAGAACGTGGCTAGGCCAAATGAGTGGAGCGGTATCACTGTATCCACAGGCCCAGGCAACCATAGAACCCTTGTCAAATTGAGAGGTACCCTGGATGAGGCCATTTCTCATGCCGCGAATATCCAAGCACTTTCAAGTACAGCCTCTCCCACCCTTAAAATTGATGAAGTATATCAATACGATTTCCCGTGTCCTCGGACTACAATGTTGGAGGCATCTCCTGATTTCATTTTCATATCGGATCATCAATCACTTACGCAATTCCTTCACTACTTTTTCCAGTATGGCAGCCCAGTTCACCATTTTCCAACAGCTACCTCCAGAGCTACGCATCAAGATTTGGCAGTTCTCAATTCCCGCCGACCATGTGACAGAACTCGACGCGCCGTACCCAACGCGCCAACAAAGCCACTTACTTTGGCAGTCAGATCAGCGGTTATGTGACATGCGCAATGCTTCGCGCCGCAATGGCGGACCACCAGCGGTCGGCAGAGTGTGCCGAGAAGCCCGTCAGGTCGTCCAGGAGAATGGATGCTATCTGGATAAGAAGCTTCACCCCAATCAAGCCAACGCTACCTTCAACAAGATCACAGGACAATGGTTTCAGCATCAAGATATCGTTCACCTGAACTGGGATCTAAAGTACGACTCTGTAACTGCCATCGAGGACGAGCCAAGCCCGGTACCCTCTCTGAAAGCATGCGCTCAATTCGCAAAGAGTGTCTCGATCACGAACGAGCTCCTGTTGTCGGAGACCTTCTTCAACGGCCTAGACCGCGACTACCATGGAAAACCTTTTCTTCGCCAGAGATGGGTCCAAAATTTACAGCTGCTGGGGTCTCTCAAAGAGTGTTTTGTCTGCTTGATGAGTTTCAACATCCACGCTCCAGCCCAACTCGTCGACGAGAAACATCTATTCGACAATCCAATTCGGCTTGTGAATCCCTTTGACCACAACACTCTGGAAAGAATGCACCGTCTATGGGAGGATGGGCTTCCTTTTATCGGACATGGCGTTGGGGACGGTGAATCTGAGATCTTGTTCCGCGACATATTGAACAGAGATGCGTTCGAGCATCAAGTGCATACATGGCGCGAAGATGTCTGCGATCTCTGGCTGTTTTACAGATACACAGAGAGCTGGGCCCGCATACAAGGTCCGAAGCAGCTGCTCTGGGAGCCACCAGCAGATGTGGAAATCTTCGACCCTGCCAGGATCAACCTGAACGACCGACAGTGGAACAAGAGTCATCCGTGGGTTATGGCCGAACTCGATGCTATGCCAAAGTTCAAGCCAGTCATCATGTTCAGGCACTGTACGAAGAATTGCTTCGACGTTACACCATACCTGCGACCTCCAGTCCCAGGCTTTCCACCTATCATGGGGCCTCCACTACGTCTTAATGCTACTCCAGGATACTTCGACTTCCGTCCAATTGGGCCTCAATAACCGCCAATCATGTCTTCCGACGAATACTACGTCGACACCGGGGCTATTGTAATACCCCGTCAAGATCATTGTTCGTTCCAGGATAAGTAGATGTCAATTGATTCCGCTCCACTTGATGAGCTTGCATACTCTATCAGTCTGCTAGTAGCTTCGTATTAATTTGTTGGGTGGATTGTTACACGGGTAGTAGATGCTGAACCCTCCTCTTATTACTTCTTCAGTGACTGTTCCCCATCTGCCTCGGATTTAATGGCTTTTAGTTTCTTTTCAACTCGAATGTCCTTCCATCCAAGACCCCACGCAAACGCAAAGGTGGCGATACTGACTGCAACGCCCAGATACATGACCTTGTCAACACTGTTACTATAGGCCTGCAGTGTATGGCGGAGTTGGTCGCCAGAAACGAGCTTCCGCACGGAGCTGGCTCCAGCATTGATGATCACATCCGGCTCGATGCCAATCAAGGCGACCCGCTCCTGTAGTTCCTTTCTTAAAGAATTGCTGAAGACGGAGTTTGCGGCAAGAAGAGTGATGGCTCCACCGATGTTCTGCATGAAGATGATGATGGCCATGGCGACAGGGATCTGAGGGGCCGGGACGAGATTCTGAACAGCGATGTAGGCCTGCACACAAGATGGTAAGCATTATTCAATCAAGACGTGTAGAGTCAGCAGACTTACAGACGATGCCATTGCACCACTTCCCACCCCATAAAATACCTGGAATCCGATCCACTTCGCGGCAGGAGTTGTCGGACTCAAAGTCGATAAGAGCCCATAGCCGATGGCCGTGATTGAACTTCCACTCACTACCCAAGGAAGGTAGTAGCCGAGCATTTCAACTAAGGACAGGAAGTCAGCCCGGCACTATCGACAGTTGAGACTTTGGAACCATACTCATAACACCCGAAATCATGGTAAACAGGACCATTCCAAGAGTAGTCGGCAATAAATGAACTCCACTCATGAAAGGCGAGTCGTTCATGATAGCCTGGAAGTATATCGAAAGGTAGAAATCGCCAACAAGAATAGCTGAGAGCAGGAAGAACAGGTTTCCTGCTGCGGACCAGATGATACGATGCTTTAGCATGGCGAATGGCACCATGGCCGTGTCGCCCTGGCGGTGCTCCCAGACGAGAAACAAGATGAAGGTAACTCCGGCGCCGACAAGAAGCCCAATGACAACAGAGCTGCCCCAAGGATGTTGGTTGCCTCCATATTGTAGTCCAAGTAGAAACATGACGGCTGCCGGGCTGATGAGCAGGAAGCCGGGAAGATCCAAGGATTTGACCGCCGTCCCAAGAACTTGTCGGACTGGGAGCTTGGGCTCGGCATCGGGAATACGGAACAAGAGGATGAGCCCAAAGACTGGGACACCGACTGGCAGATTGATGTAGAAGCCTGGATCAAATGCGTCAGTGTCTGTAGACTGTTCCAAAGTAAGGGGTTCGAGGCCACTGCAGTAAGACTTACACCAGCGCCATGAGACATATTCCGTGAACAATCCGCCGACTACAGGTCCCAAAGCCAGGCCCAGCTGACCAATACCCATGTTGAGGCCCAAGAACTTCGCTTGTTCTCGAGTGGGCATGATGCAGGAGATGATCGTCAAGGCGCCGTTAGCGAGACCCGAGGATCCCGCACCAGCAATAGTCCTTCCGACAATGAACATAGATGAAGATGTCGCAATTGCACATATCAGCGAACCAATTTCGAATATGGCAAAGAAGGCGAGAAAAGACCACTGTGCAGCATTGTTAATGGTCCGCAGAATGAGGTACGCCCTTGGGCCTCGGACGTCTCACCTTCGCAGAGAAGTGCTGGTAAATCTTGCCGCTCAAAGGCTGTAGCGCAGAGCTCCCCAGTTGGTATGCGCCACCGTACCAGCCCACGTCTATGAGAGAGTTGAAGCGCGAGGTGATCGCCGGGGTCGCGGTTGAAACAATGGCTAGGTCAAGAAAAAGGAGGAAGTAGGCCATGGTGAGTGGGAGAATTATCAGGGCTCTTTTGATACCGCTTGGATAGTTCGGTACATCTTCAGACTCCATGTGACCGTCTAATCCACTTTTCTCGGCATCCGATGGTTGCTGAGATGTGTCGGTCAAAGTTTCTGGTGGTTGCTGATCAGCAACGGAAGCCTGAGGTGGCCTGGTTGAGTCGGAAGATGAGACGGCCATTTTAATGGAAAAATAAGTCGTTTAGCCCAATAATTCTTGCGATATGTTCAGCTTGTGATGGATAGTAAAGCCAAAATACGGGCCGCCGGGAGGCCATCTTTATAAGTCTGCTATCTCGGACAGGATTTGCGGGCGAGTGATTCGAATTTCCGCTAATCTGCGACATTCCTCCAATTTCTACTTCCTTATTGCATTTATCAGCTGAATTTCGGCCTGGAGTCTGCCCGGTAAGGCGTTGCGGGACGAAAGGGGCACAACGGGTGTGAAGTCTCACCGAGTGTCATCCAGGCCGGATTCTGAAATCCGGTTTGCCAAGGCCCACCTACGTAAGGAGCCCTTGTTGAAAACTCACTACTGCCTAGGTATGCAATCAACTGTAAATTATTCTGACTTTCTTTATTTTATGAAAAGTAAAATCTCATTAATCATCTAGAAATACTATGTTTACGAACTCAAATCATCCCAGATGTGCCCCAACCACGCCCCAGGGTTCCGGAATGGCACCGTTGAGGTGGCGGTACCCGACCCAGATTCTACCCCAGAACTGTCCGCATCAACATCGATCGAAGACCGAAAGTTGCGCATTCCATCCGCGAGTTGTGTAAGCACATCATCGGGCCCATTCCCCCCAGCTTCGGCAGCAGCAGCACTCAACTTATCAGCCAAGCGATCCAGAACACCGGGAAGCTCGCCGATGGCTCTCTCTACAGCAGGGTCCGCGCCAGGGTGGTGATAAGATTTGGCGAGATGGCAAAGTATTGCAATACAGTTGGCTAGGTGAGACCACTGGATTGACTGTATGAACGATGCGCCGAGAAAGGCGGAGGCGGGGAGACACAGGAGGGCCCTCGCGCAGGCGTTAACGGCGAGTTCTGCTTTCCAGAGACAAAAGACGCTGTCGCTTGGGAGAGTCGTCATGTTGGTTAAAGGTCCAGGACACATCTCCGGAGGCTCGTGGGGTCGAATTTGTGATCCTGCTTCGAGGATGCGGAGTTCGGTGTAGTGTGTGTGAGCCTGGAGTACATCTGGAGCTCATGGTTAGTATTTGCTCCAAGGGGGTTTGGTCTATTGTTACCTTGTCCGGGCAGGTTTTCTGACTCCATACTTGCCCTGATGTCTTGTAGCTGTGACAAAAGCATTTGTCCCTCCAAGACAGCCGTGGATGGCAGTCCAGTCATTGAGGTCTGGGGGTCGAACTGTGCGCTTCTGGTGGCTAGCAGTTGAAGACGAACTTGGAAAACCAAAGCTTTGTCAGATAACTCCTGATGAGCTTCCAGGGCGGCCAGAACCTCGTTCATCTGGGAAGTCCATTTCAGCGGCTCCATCTCGCCGAAATAGACTGATACGGCAGAGCTAAGAGCGAAGCAACCTAGAACTGCACGCTGAGACTCCAGGACCTGGGTCGTTGTCATCCCGCGTTCCTCGATATCATCGTGTTGAGCCCCTGGGGCGAAGAATTGTATTTGGTACAACCGTCCGCTTGCTGGTTTGTCCAAATGCATCTCCCCTACCAATGTCATGGCAAAAGTCATGAGCCGGGTCAAGCTACATCCTGAAATGACATGGTCCCATCCCCATGCAATGTATACCAAGAGCCCCAGAAGGAAATCCATAGACGCGTATTTGCTGGAGGTTTTCTCTTCACAAAACATCATGTCGCCGAGGATGTGCTTCAGCTTATGTGCCCGCGTACGCTTCTCGCTTGCTGGCGGAGGGGCTACGCATCGGATTGCTTCACAAAGAAAAGGGCGTTGTCTTTGTAGCTTCTCTGAGGTCATGTCGGACGGAAAGTAGATGAAGGGAAAATTTGGAAGCATCAGCCACCGGAAGCGCTCGAAGTCTTCGGCGCTTCCACCGATCGATGGTCCCGATACCGCGGTCAGAGGTGTGGGTGCTACCTGTGAACCGGGTGATCCGGTAAATGGAGGTGAGAGCACGGAGGCGGTATACTGGGGCTCATCGTCCTGTTCTTGGGAGTTCAGGTCGCGAGCTGTGTTGTTATCTAGCCCGTCGCTTTCATCTGCCTCTCTCAACTGCGGCTCATCATAGCTTGCTCGGGTGTCAGACGTCGTTGATGCATTCTTGTCGATGACATTGCGCTCCTGCAGTAGTGACACGAGACTCGACAGTTTGCCCTCAAGATCAGCGATCCGCGCATTTGCCCTTTGGGTGTTGTCGGCGGCTTGTCGTCGGATCGAATCGCCAGGGTGACACGTCTTTTTGAGACGGTGACATCTGTGCGTCGTGTTACCAAGATGCCGACTTCATCCCATCTCTGGGTGTTCATCCCATGAAGGGCTGATGCACGCACTAACCTTTCACATCCCTCGCCATCAGTGCGCAAGATGCATTTGCACTTGGACTTGAAGCAGCTCGTGCATGACTGCCCGTACGGTGCTGCATGACCAGGTGCCCTTCTTCGTTTGTCCATCTTTGTTGGTGGTGAAGAAAGTAATCTCAGGCAATTCCTCATGCAACTTTGGTGTCAGAACGGATTTCAGAGTCCGTAATCCGAATGGATCGGAGAATCAGCTCATGCGCATCCAAGTAACAGGGGCTAGGTGGTATTAGTAATGAGAGGCGCATGCGGGACGCCAGCCTGGGCAAAGGGCTTTTCCACATTGGTCGATGGCAGCGTCTGACATGGAACTGGTCAGGTTTATGTCCAAGGCTGCCGAGGCAAGGGGTTGTCGAATATATCTGTCAGCGCTCGCGGTGGCAGTGCATTTCAGCCGGCTGCGATTCCCGTTCGATTACCCCATCCACATTCACGGCGACTTGCAGCAGGAGAAAAAGTACATGAAATTCAACCATCCCAATCTAA